GCCGACTACAGTCTTTCTGACCTCCATCGCCCACAGACTACGGCCCTTCTGACTTACGTCGCCCACCGACTACAGTCCTTCCGACCTTCGTCGCCAGCCAACTAAGGTTCTCCTGACTTACGTCGTCTGCAGACTACAATCTTTCCGACCTTCGTCTTCAGACAACAGTCTTTATGATATCCGTCCGCCAACTACGATTCTTCTGAACTCCATCACCAGACTATGGTCCTCCCAACCAAATGAACACGTCAATAGTTACTCTTTGTATTGACATCATGTAATGTACTCTATAAAATGTACATCAAGCTAAGGCCTTCTCCCACGGATGGGCCTCATTTGTAATCAACAACATACTAGTGGATTCATTCGAACTGGGTTAGGCCCCTGTGGTTTTTCCCCCTTTTCAGGGGTTTTCACGTAAAATTCTTAGTGTCTCATAAATGTTAGACTCTCTCTCTTATATTATTGCGTGCCAGATCTTTGTATAACACTAATACACTGAACTTTATATTTCTTTACCGCCGCGAATACTCCTGCAGGCAACAATTACAATTTTTTTCGTTTTTAAGTTTTATTTTTTTATTTTTTGTAAATATATATTTATAAATGATACTATAAACTAAATAAAACTAAATAAAATAACAGGAAAAAAAACTATAGCGACTTGATTTATTTCGTTTTTTTTTTATTTTTTGTCTATTTTCTACCTTTTTTTTGTTTCTTTTTTTTAATCATTTATAATAATTTTTTATAATTTTAATTTTTTTTAGAAATTTTCATCACTATAAATTTATAAATATATATATGTAGGAAGCTTTATTTATATAATTTTATAAATTTAAGAAATAATTAAAAAAAAATCTAGAAAAGTCTAAATCTTGAATGAGTCAAACCGTTTGATTGATAATAAAATTATTTATTTATATTTTATTTTAAATTTATTTCTTAAACTTATTATGATGCTTTAATGTTATATTAAAATGAACTGATTTTATTTGAATACTTTTTTATTATAAATTTAAAAATGATTTAATTTGTTTAATTATAAAAGAGATTAATTTAATAAGTTTGAAAGAAATAAGCTTCTAAAATGATAGCTTTTCATTGCATGAAAATAAATTTATTTTATAATTATATGTTTAATGATAAGACATTTTGATTAAATGAAATTAAATTTATTTAATTATTGTGAATGATAAATTTATGCTAACCATCCACTCACCTTCTCTTTAGATCTGTTTAAATCTTAATTGACATAATATAAACTAACTTAAAATCTTCAAAATAGGACAATTGATTAAATTTAAAATTTTAAGTTGACTTTGATTTAACTAAGTTCATGTCGCAGATTGGTTCACGACGGTAAAGAGATATAGAGTTTAACATCCAAACTTTATACGAAGATCCAACTCATAGATAGATAAGATAGAAGGGAGCAAGAGTTATAAAACACGTCAAGAATTATACGTGAAAAATCATGAAAAGGGGAAAAACCATGGGTCGGGTTCATGGTCTACTAGTGTTTATTGTTGATTACAAATGACGTCATTTCTTGAGGGGAAAGTATTAACTCATTATAGTAAATATACATCATAAATATCACGTTACATGGTGAGAGTTGGAAGAATTTAGTGATATGAGAGTTGTTCTCTAGTGAGTATTGGCCTGTTTGTTCAGTCCGTAGGACCGTATTCTAGCGACGACGGTTGAAGTGACTTTAGTTGGTGAGAAAAATATGTTTGAGATATCATATTTGGGGCCTGACGGAGGTTAGAGGGGCTATAGTCAAGGGGAAATGATGGTTGTCTGAGAGACCATAATCGGGTGGCAACGATGGTTGGAGCGACCGTCATTAGCGGGTGACGTAGGTCAAAGGGACTGTAGTTATATAACGGCGAACGACGGTGGGGATCATAGTCGGTGGCAACAGTGGTCAGAGGGACTGTAGTCAATGAACCACGATGGTTAGAGTAACCATAGTCGGCAGGCGACAATTGTCGGAGGGACCATAGTCGATGGTCTTCAGTAGTCAAAGTGATTATAATTGACGGGGAATGGTGGGCCACTTAACTACTTTGACAAGCATCCTTAATTCTGTCTTATTTGAAGTGGATCGGATCAATAGTTCATATTTAGACACATTGTCCATGCCTTAATTCTAAGGAATACAAGTTTGAACACCATGGAAGGTGCGTAGTTCTGAGCTATCCAATTAGCTCAATTCAAAGGAACAAACGACCCAGATTGATCCAAATTTCTTAGCTTATTTTTTACGTGAAACTTTAAATGCTCATAACTTTCTATCCAACCATCCAAATTTGACAAAATTTGAAACATAAGCTCTACATAACGAGATCTTTCAATGCATGGAGTTTGAATGCTTCATGCATTTAGATCTGGGACAAAATGCAACTTGAAATTCAAATTTTAAACTAAGATATCTCACTAACTTGTGGATGGATGTCTTTGATCTTAGTCTTGTTTTTCTCCTAGAGAATGACTTTTCAACTTTACGAAGACCCCAAGAGCTGATTTGGGTTGAATTGAAAGTTAACTCTAGATTATCATTTTTCTTCTTTTTTCTCTTTCCTCTTAAACAAAGGCCTTTGGAAGCTATCACGATCTAGGGGAAGGCTTGGAGAATGTAGAGCAACTTCTAGAGAGGCAGAGGAAAGAAAAATTTTGGTTAGAGGGGGCTTGGAGTGTGAGTTAGGTTGGAATGAAGTTTTTTTATGCATTGTTATGTTTGAGCCCTAACTTTTGTGTAGATGGCTAGGATTGATCAAAGGTATTTATTAGATGCTTGCCACCTGTCCTAGGTGAGAAGCTAGGGGAAAGGTTGCATGCATAAGGGTGACTTAGGTGAGCTCACATGAGGGGAGGGGCCATATTTTTCCATTCTTGGCTAAACTAAGGCTTGGTCTTGGGTTGGGGGGTGTTTTAGGGATTATTTGAAATTGATTTGAGTATATTTAACTTGATGAGTTAGAGGGAAGTGAAAACTTTTGGGGGTTTTGAGCATTTGACCATGTTTGAAAAGTTTTGTTGACTTATTGACGAGTCAATCAGTCAAAGCTGATTGAGATAGGTCTTGGGGAGGTCATACATAATGTAGGAATATATTCCAAGAGGTTTGAGGCCAAAGATTAGGTGTTTTAATGAATGTTTGGCTACATGCATGGGTTTTACCACTCCAAATGGGTTGACCAAAAGTCAAACTAGTGGGGGTTTGACTCATGATTGGAGCATGCAATGTAATGATTTTGGTAGTTTGGTTTGGTTTTGGGTTGAAGTTTGGCTCAAGAAAAGCCCCTCTTGACCACTTGGGTTGAGTCATGTGGCTATTCTAAGTGGACCCAAAGGTTGGGTCTTCTATGGAAGATTCTTAGGGTCACAATGGGTCATCCCAAGGATTCAATTTAGTTTGAGAATGCTTAGAGCATTGGATATGGGCTAGATTGAGTGTATTGTTGGTTTGGCCAACCAGGTTTGACCAGGGAATTGAGTTAGACTCAACCAATTCAAAATGACATTTTGCACTTAATGAAGGTGGTCTTATGCAATGGCGATGTCTTTTTTTTTTGCATGAAATACATATCTAAGTGCATAATGGGTACTTTGGTCAATTGTAGTTGACTTAGTCAACTAGCTCAAATTAGGACCTGGGTAATGCATCATAAATGATATTTGAAATGCATTACAAGAGATTCCAGAAGTTGGTTTGAATGATCCATGTTGATGTTTAAGGGGAAGTTTGATTTTCCCTTATGGGTTTTGGGGTCAAGTGGGCCCATGGCCTACCATGCTCAACTAGGGTCCACCAAAAGTTCAGTATTATGTTTATCAACCAATGATCATGAGCATGTTCAAGGGTTTTGGGGAGGTTCTCAAGGTCAAATTTCACAAGATGCATGATCCAGTGTCATATGTTATAAATATTTAAAAGTATTGAAGCCTTTGTAATTCAATTCAATTTTTTGGATTAGAGGGATTAGATTGCTCTCAAATTTGAAGAGTTAATCCTAGAGACATGCCTAATCAACATGCAATCGATGGATCATGAATCCGACGTCATTTGGTTTGATTTTGAGGCGATTGAAAAATCACTCAAAATGGTTATGGGACAAGGGATTTTTTCCCTTGACTTTGTGTTTGGAGTTTTGGATTTATATTTGGTTTTTTATTTAGATTTTGGTTAATCAACCTCATACAAGAATGAGGTAAATGCCTGACCTTTTAAATGATTTATTTTTTGGTCAATAAATATAGATGTATATTGATATTTTAAATTATAGAATTTATTTTTATTGTTTATTACCAATATATGAAATTATATAGCTGTAGTTATTGTATAATAAAAGATGAAATAAAGAATTCTTCTAAATTAAATTATGGGGCATGAAACCTCCGACCTCCGTCGCCTGTCGACTACGATCTCCCTAACCTCCATCGCTCACCGACTATAGTTCCTTAGACCTCCGTCATCCACCAACTATGAACCTTCGTCGATCACCAACTTTGATCACTCTGATCTTCGTCGCCCATATACTTTGTTAATTCTGACCTTCGTCGCCCGCACACTATGGTCCCACCAACCTTTGTCGCCAGTTGACTACAATTCCTCTGATCTTTATCGCCTGCCGATTACGATCCCTCCAACCTCCAACGCTAGTTGACTATGGTCCTATCAGCCTCATTCTGTTGACTATGGTCCCTCTTATTTCTATCATCCAACAATGATCTCACCAACCAAATGAACGTATCAACATTCTCTAAAGAATAACTCTCATATCATTGGATCACTCAAACCCCAATTATGTAATGCGTTTAATATTTTCTATATTGAGCCAACATTTCAATAACAAATATTAATAGATTCATTTCAATTGGGCCAAATGCTATGATTAAAGTTTATATATTGAATATATGAAATTCATCATTTACATATATAACACTCAAAATATCTTTAAAAAAAAAAAATATAGCACATTATATGAACATCCCGTCTTTTACCACTGTGCCACCAATCCCATTGACTTTTATCGTTACTCCCATCATTTTTCACATGTCGCCGGATGCAATCGCTAGGGAGGGAGATGCGCGAGTCACGAGAGTCAAACAAGCCTGGAGTCACATATCACCTTCTCAACAAAATCTTGTTGAAAAAAAGTTTTATTATGTAAATAGTGCAAAAAAAATTTATCAGAATATTTTCAACCAAATTTTTCATTCAAAATTTCATATGAATATCGTGACCTAAATTAAAAATAATTAAAAAAAATATCCCTCTTTCAGTCTCAATGCTCTCTTCTTCGAATTGTAAATCTCCCGAAGAAACGAGAGAGAGAGAGAGAGAGAGAGAGAGAGAGAGAGAGATCCACTGCAAAGGAATAAGAATTCTAGAAGATATGGAGAATCTCGAGGATCGGACGATTACAAAGCGGGCAGGATCGGCGTTCGATCCACAGATCCCGAGCGCAACCCCTGCAGAAAGCGTGCCCACAAGGTATAAACGCCGCCCCCTTCTTCTTCTCCATACAAACACAACAGTTCTCCTCAATTCCCACCGCCTCCCGCTTCACTTCCTCTTCCTCCTCCTCCTCTAACCAATTCATCAGCGAATTTCTCTCCATCTCCACCGCCGGCGCCAACGACATCGCCTCCGCCGCCCGCATCTGCCGCTCCTCCGCAAGCGCCGCCGCCAGATTCATCTCCCCCGTCGATTGTGTTGCAGCAAGCTCTTCGATCACCTCGTCACCGTTTCCGCCTCTTGCGGGGTCGGTCTGAGGAGAGAAGCGCTTTGAGCCCCATAGAGCTCCGCAGCATCCTGTGCTAGAACTCTTTGGGAACCGTAGCTTCTCGCGTAAGGTCTTCCATATGCCCGACATCCTTTCTTCTTCTTCAACGATCTGCTCTCCCTGATTCCTCTAATTGAAGAAAATCTGAATCATGGTGGATGAATGTTTAATGTTTTATTTTCCTCTTCCGCGTTAGAGACCAGAGGAAGGGAGGAGAGGACCTCCTCTCTTGTAGCTGCTCTTCGCTGTTCTCTTTGGATTATTTGTATAAAACGTAAATCAAATTTGATTTTTTATTGAAAAAATTAGGCTGATTGTCATAATAATTTTTGTCGTTTATTAGTTTAATCAGTAAAAATTATTATTTTTGACCTTTGTCAATATTTTTTTTGAAATTTTAACGTTACTGAAAATTTATCTACTTTTTTTTTTATTGATGCAATAATTTAACAAATTTAAGTAGTGCCATGAAATAAAAAATAAAAATAAAAAACTACCACTTGGGAGAATTAAAAAGGTAAAAAAATTATTTTTTGGTCGAATGAGATTATTGTACTTTTCAAATTACAAATTTGAGCTGTTTTTTTGAAGAACTTATTCTGTGCGGAGTCCAGCAGGGAAGAACAGTTCGGACTATGAGTGTGCACAATATGTACATATTTATATGTAATGTGTTTCAAATTTGTGCAGTGGCGGAGCCTCAAATTTTATTCGGACTTAAAATAGTTATGTTTGCGTCACATTTGGAAGGTTAGAATATATTAAAATAGTTCCATTTTTCGTCTCATTACCGGAGCCAAGAGTATCTATAAGATCAAAATTAAAAATGCAAATAATATGACCATTAGAGCTTAGAAGACATAAACATCTTCCACAGACGGTCTTCATTTGGGGGCGAGAGAGGAGTCAAAGGAAAAATGAAAGCTGTGCTCGAGGTCGTGACTTGTGACTAGCGAGAGAGGAGTAGAAGGGAACAAATCATTAATGCTTTTTATGTGTCAAGAAAAAAAGTTGGTGGCTTCTCTAGTTCTCTGGATTAATAAATAACTTTAAAAGAAAGAATTACAAAAATTAGAGCATGTTTTCTCATTGACTAGCTTGTTGCTCTATTAAGCCACTAAAACAATCAGCTTTAAGCCCTTTTAGGCTTTAAATTTTAGTTTTAGCCAAATCCTTTAGAGGTGATCTCTCATACTAAGTCATAAGTGCGCGACCGCAGCATTTTTGTTGCACAAAAAAAATGAGAAAAATTAAAATGTACCCTTCACTGTAATTAATTAGATCATTAGCAGTCCTAAAATAATTAAATAAATGAATGATAATTTAATATTTAATAATTATTATTAGATAATGAATAGTTTTTTAACCATAAAAGTTTTAATAAAAATATATTTAAATAGTTAAGTATTTTAAATAATAATTAATTAAATAGTCTAACAACTCTACGTTAAAATATCTTTTTATCATTCCATCCGCAATGGAAAGTCATTCCTCCTCTCTTTGAATATTAGTTTTTCTTTCTCTACATTTGAAGCATTGCATGATTCGAGTAGAAGGTGGATTGAAGACTTGAAATGAAAAAGCATGTAATAAATAAATGAAAGCCAATAAGGTTAATTAATCTTTTTTTTCTCTCTCTCTCTTTCATAATAAACAAGTCAGCCAATGAACCACCTCAAACTCATAGTTTTTTTATTTTTTTAATTGGAAAGGGGTAAATAGAATTTAATTAGGGACTTAGGAGTTGTTTGGTATAATGAAAAAAAAGTTCAAAATATTTTAAATATAGTGATTTTAAAAATACTTATGTCTAATCTCAAATAAAAGAAATGCTTAGTAAACTTTTAAAATATTTGAAATTTAATATTGAGTTTAAATATGATATATTTAAAAATATTTGAATTTGATCGATTTATAAATATACTATAAATTTTATATCATTGTCGCTATGAGCAATTGTTAGCCATCAGATGCTACCATCATGCATCACTCTGTCAACCACTGTCACTTATTATTGTCGCCGCCATCAACAACTTTTTCACCCCGTTGGCCTCCGCCACAAAAAAAACAAATAACTACCGCCTGCCGCTCGTCATCGTCGTCGCCCTTGCCCACTACTGCCTATCACTCACCACCAATGGCCATCCACTGTCAAACGCCTCCATTGCTCCTCATCGCCTATCACTCGCCAACACTAGCCTCCATGGGCCGCCACCAGGCCCGCCACTATTGTCATTGGTAGTTGCCAACATCGCTCATTGCCGACTATTGACATCACCGCCTAGGGCCACCACTTTCCACGACTCACCGCCTCCTCCGACAACACATCGTCGCCATTGCCACAACACATCGTCATTAATGTATGGTAGCCACCGACAACCAATCATTAAGATTTATACTGCATTTATTTTTTATTTATTTTTTTTTAGTGCATTTATTTTATTTCAACCCGTGCGAAATAAATAAACCCTACAATATTTTACTTCAAATACACTTCATTCTTTTATTAAGGTAAATATAATTCAGCTTTACATTCAGCTTATTAAAAAGTAGATGAATATAGTCATAAATTAAAGTTAGTAGTAGATTAATGTAGTAGATTATTTTTGTTAAATTAAAGTAGGTTTTTTTTTTTTGTTATTTTATTAGATAGAGAGTGATGTTAGACATGAAATAATTATTTAAAATTTATATTTATTAGATTACCGTTAATGTTATGTTAATTTGAAATAAACTTGTGTTAATGAAAATTAAAATAACTTAACTATTAATTTAGGTGTTGGAATTATTTAGGTAACATGTACACTTAAAAGAAATTAATCTTAATTAGACTTGTTTAATGAATTTAATTAAACGTATTAAAATCCTGATCTTTGCTATATCTATCTTAATTATTCTAAATGATAGTACTAACAATATTAAGAGAGGGATAAGAAATCAAATTGTAATATTCAGCTAGTGTATGTCATCAATTTAGAGAAGATGTGTGAAAAGTGAGGTAAGTATTGTGTTTTTATTAAAAAGTTATTTAATTTATGTTTAAATATAGTATTAATAGCATATGATCCTCTATTTATTATATATCAGTTAAGTCATTTATTTAGAAACTTATTATTCAAAGCTTATGAACCTGCATTTATTGTCTCCTTATTTGGTAGGTCGAATCACATGAGCTGTAAAATAATATTATCAAATAAAGTGTTATTTTAGTAGTGATGACTAGGGGTGTCAATATTTGGAACAATTATTACGTCCTCCGACCGGACGTAGAGGAACGTCCGGTCGGAGGCCAAATCGCGCAAAAAAATGAGAAATACCGAGCAAATACCGAGCAATACCAAACAATAATGAGGACTTGCATCAACTTATCATAATAGGTGACATATAAAGTTGTAATTCTAATCAACATAAATCAATTTCTTATTAGATTCTTAATGTATGCATTCTTGAGCATTCTCTATATAAGTGATGCATCTAGAGGGAGAGTTGAACATTAAGTGAAGTGCTTGTATTATTATTATTATTATTATTATTTTTTTACTCGAGTCTTCAAATTTTTTTTTTCTAGTTTATACCATGATGTATTGGCATACTTTAGAGAAGATTTGGGGCATCCCAACAAAAGAGTTGGTTGATGCTGGAAACACATGGTTGCAGGAGTGTGTGGCTAGGTCTTCTCATACTCCATTAGAGTTGAAGGCAAAGTTGATTAATATTTTTAGTTATTACATCCATGAATAGATGGAGGGTAATGACAATTTACTTTTGAACTTTTGCATGAGAAAGCTATGGTGATAGACTTCTATAAATCATTAAATTTCTTAAATGGTCGAGGTTGGAAATATATATAGTATAAGTTCTTGGAGCAAGATCGTCACATAGTTAGCATCAACTTTCTTCTGATGCTTTACCATGAGTTACGCCGTGAAAGAGAAGGTAGAAATTCATGAGATGTTCAGAAGCACTACGACTTTGATCATGATATTCTCTATCATCCTTAGTTTTAAGGCGAGGAAAGTTTTATGTTGGAATTCTTTACAAATCGAATGAAGGAGTTATATTTTGGGAGGCACGAAAAGGAAGCATTTGAACAGAGCGGATTGGCAAGACCTTCAGTTTGAGTTTGAGTTTAACTTCAAGTTTTGTCCAACTTAGAGCCAACTCCAAGCTCGTCTATGTACCTTAATGGAGAAGAAGTAGCACTATGTGCTTTCTATATCTCTTGTATTTTTTTTTTTGTTTTTTTTTTAGAGTTCGTATGATGCTAATAGTTTATGTATTATCCTCTACTTTTAATGAAGGTTAGTTTGTTTATGTTTATCGTAATTTATCATGAAATTTTATTATATATCCTCAACTTATATGAAATATTTAAATTATATAAAAGAAAGTATATTAATGGGTAATGAAATAATATGTTAGTAGAAATAAATTATTTTATTAATTTTAGGAATTCCAAATATAGTAAGCATGAATTTATTAAAAGTCAAATTTAAAAGATTTTGGTAGAGCTCATACAACTACAATATATAGACATGCGAACTAGCATCCTCTTCAGCGTGGAAAAACATCAGTGCCAGGAGTATATTTGGTAGGTGATCATCGAGTTCTTGGCTATATATCTGCCCTATATTGTCTGAATGCATCCTCCTCATCCTATATCGTAGCTACCTCCATACATCTATGCTATAAAAGCAAATCTTGTTGTGTCGGAGATTTTGAAAAATCTAGCTGAGCTATACATTATGAAATATACATACCTTATGTTGTGTATGAGTCTGCTTGTTATCACTGGCTAACCTCCTGGTAACATCCTGGAGTTTCCAAATGTGTGTCGAACTGGCTAAGATAATCTAAAGATAGTCCACTACATATGGATATACTCCTCATGCCATTGAAGGTCCACCCACCTTAAAGGTCGTTGCCATGTGATGACCTCCATAGCCCACGTACATAGATTGTCTCAGTGCTTCGAAGTATTTAGGACATATATTAGTGGCAATAGTTCTCCTGGGAGCATTTCAAATTGATCTCCTTGATCTCTGAGTATGGGTCCAACATTTGTGTGGCTGCTCAATAGGATAGGACTGCTTCTCTTGTGTATAAAATGCATCATAATCAATATACACTGATATGTCAACCTGGTATAACAACTTGACAACATTATCCATCGCTTGTTACATCAAGCATGCATTTTTCCCTTAATCACTTGTGAATGAGTGGAGGAGATCCCGAATGCGTACATAGTAGTTTGCCTA